AATGAGTGCGGAGCATCAGTAGACGAGCAGATACGGTGCCATTTGAGTGGACATCGTAAGGTTTAAAAAATTAGATAATATGCAACTTTTCTCAAAACGGAAAGATAGCCTTTCTTCGAGTACAAAATTGGAAAAAAGTAATTTTCAATCAAAAAAGTGCACGAAATGATATTTCTAAGCATGTTTCCTATAAAATACGTTTGAATTTATAAAGACGTCAAAAATCAGTAGTAGAAATGCATAAAACTTTAGTCCTTTTGTACCGAGTAGATGGCTAAACGGTTGTGCATTAAAGCCGGCATCTCGACGTTTCTGAAATATTATAGCGATAATCGATATTGTAACTTCACTTAGGTAAATTTTCCTAATCAAAAGCGCATTTCAGAATGACAATTAGAATTTCATGAAATCGCTCACTGACTGTGCATTTAGATTCGCCTTCTAACAACGACCACCGCCGGTTTATTTTCCAACCCCCTAAAAGTGGATCTAAATTACAGAACTGGCAAGCATTCCATTAGTATATTTTCCTCACGTGAATAAAATACATTTCGAAACGCCTTAGGTTGAAATACATTAACAAGAAAAATAAATAAATTGTAGCACACAATTTAGCACACAATTTTACTGTACCAATTAAGTCACTCAGGACAAATTCGCATGAAGACTGAGATGCTTAAATCCCACAGCAGCAGCAGCACGGAACAGTTACTATTAAGAGAACAAGACGCAGGAAAGCAGGCGTAGATTCATAAACGCCAACACTCACCTCGAAGAGGACATTGTAAGTCTTCATGGAAAAGATGTTGGAGGCCGCATTCAGGCGGTCACCTATTAGGCTGAACACACTATACTGACCCATTGATTCTTGTTTTCGTCTAAAAGGAAGATAGTCCGGGGCATAAAATAAAGTCGAGACATCGGAGTTCATGTCACATACAGTCCAGATTCTGTGCCGGGGACCGAGCAAGACCTTCATATACTTATTTCAAAAGGTTTAGTGATTGATATTAAAAGGAGAGCATGCAAGTCAAGGAAGAGTGAATGCTCATTTGTAAAAATGACGTCCGGAAGTCAAATACAAGTTTCGAGGTGAAATAGCCTGGAAAACAGTAAAATACTGTCTTTCATGCTGGATTTCAATTCTCGGGAGCAAAAAAGATGCTCAGCGGTCAAAATGAGGGTAGACATTCTGTTTGATCGCAGTAATTCAAGGGAGAGGAAAACAAACATGAGAATTTTCGGAGCACAACGACTCAGCACAACGACTCCTAGCATATTGCCCACGAATAAAGTAATAGGAAGGGGCACACTACTGCTTTTTAGAAATGACAGAAATCTGCCAAACAGATTGGTTTAAAATATTCTTAATATCTTGATTAGATATTGGCCAAAGTCATTCAGTTGGCAGATGATGTGCGACGACCCCTGGGCTGTCAGACAACGCAGTCAATGAGAACCTACCAAAATCGAAACAGATAGACAATTGCACTAAAATTGGGATCAGCCTCTACTGTTGACGATATAAGAAAGCTTCACCGCGTTTTAGACACTAGTTGGAGAGCAATTTCGCGGTCAATGGGACCACCGAAACGGGTGGCAGGCGTCCTATCGTGCCCACTTATAAGCAACAGCCGTCCTAACAAGAACCGTTCTCTAGCTTCCTAATCTGTCACCTGAATGTGTCCGAAGAGACTTCTGCCTCAGTTGTCTCTACAACCTCCAACTCCCACCCTCAGATTGGGGTTGCGCTGCTCTCTGGTGGGCGGCAGTTGCTTACATTGCTAAGG